AAAAAAAAAAAAAAAAAAAAAGGGAAAGAAAAAGAAAAAAGAGAAGAAGAAGAAAAGAATAAAAGAATCCAACAACAAATGAATTAAAGCACAGCAAAGAGGGAGAAAAAAAGGCATTGGGAAAGTGGGCAGGTTAATCAAAATACAGAAAACTAGAGAATACAAACCGCTTTCTCTCATTTTCTTCCTCAATCCGCTTTGCTTCCAGCAGTTCCTTGCCCACTCGAATCCTCTCCTAAAGCATTAGTATAATCACATTAATGACATTACCAAAATAAAGAAAATGGACTTATAGGGGCTAGGATCATGTAATAAGTCACCAAAGAACCTTGCAAGTAAAAATAAGAAAACTGCATCGCTAAACAGTTCATCTATTGAGGAAACATAGTCAAAAGGAAAATAAAAATATAGATTATATACCCCTTAATCTCTAAAAGTAATATTCTCCATGAAGTCATGAACCACATATAGTCAAATTCTTCAAACATATAAGCATATTTCAATTTGCTGCAAAAGTTGTTAGGGCAAAGAAAAGTTGTACAGGCATTCACACATAATAGTAGATGAGCACTGGTATTACATGAGAAAATAAGAAACTATGAATCACCTTTTCCTTTTCTCTTTCCATTCTCTTTTCTTCCTCTTCCTTCTTTTTGCGAGCCCTCTCCCTGTTGTTTCAAATTGAAAAGTTAGTTCTCCAAAAACTGCTTCTAGGATTCAATCATAAATATGCAAATTAGATCCACATGTTAGACCTGTCCAACCTTTACCACCATTGGCATGGAGGGAAAGGCCCAGAGGACATGCAGCTTCTGGAAGGTATAGGCCACTAAATAATGGGAAATCAGGGGAAGCATTTACAAAATGTGATCGCGAGTAAACACAGAATGACCACTAACCAGCAACACCAAATAATACATCAAAATAAAACATACCTTAGTTCTTGAGCTTTAAGCTTCATTTCTTCAGGAGTAAGAGAAGATTTTGGTGCTTCAACTTTGGAGTTGAGTGGGACCTAAACAACCATAAGTGAGAAAACTAAACGAGAAGAAAGAATATTCAGCATGTTGAAGAACTAAAGTTACTTCAAAAGAGCATGCAAGTTACAAGGGAACAGTTACAGATTAGTAATGTGAAGACATCAGAGGAGAGCACATGATTGTAGTATAATTTAATTAAGAGAAGGGAAGAGGAATAAAAGAAAAAGTACCATGGGCATCTGATCTATGTCTGGATCATTCTCATGTTCAACAACCCAGTTCACAGCAGCCTCAAGGCTTGTATTACCTGAAGAAGTGGAAACCAACTTTTGTTAAGTGTAAATGCTATATGTCTAGCTAATAATCACATGAAGAAAAGAAAAAACCATTACGCAAATAAAATATTAGAAGGCAATATTAAGAACTTGAAATCCACATTTCCAAGCTAAAATATATTAGATAATAGATAAAGCCTCCAAGAAAAGAGAGTATCATCAAAATCATTTTAACATCAGACTAATTAGAAGAAAAATTAGCAGCTTACCTAAAGAACTGAAACTAAAGCTCTTTATGCCCACTCATTAACACGTTACATCCATAGTTTTCTGTTTTCTAGCAGTGTATGCTTTTGTCATGTGACCCTTCAAAAGCAGTATCCAGGGTCCAGTAACATCTCATGATTCTAATGGATGTATGAGATACTTAACCATTGGCTTGATCGATTATTATACATATATTCTCACCATGTTTCCTTCTAAAACCCAAAACGCAACACCTCAACAAAATTTGAAAGATTACTCTGAAATAATTTAAAACAGAGATTAAAACACTTCATAAGTGGGTTCACCTGAATAATGCAGTGCACGTGTTGCACGAGCTGTTGGGAAACCCATTAATTCTAGTTCCTCTAACAGCTTTTTATCAACCTCTGGTACAACCATCTCTATAGAAAGAAGAGGAATGAATAAGAAAGCATAAAATAATCAAAAAATAGTTACAAGAACCAAAGAATATCCAATTTCTACAGACTTCCGTGTTTCATACTTCCAAGGAGATCAAACATGTAATAAATGAAAATCCATAAACCATTATATGAAGGAAAAAAAAATTAATAATACTAACATGAGATATCTGGAGCAATAAATTCATTTCCTGCCCTAAATTGGCAGCAGAGTCAAATCCAGAACTTGGTAGTGGAATTAAACATAAATGATATATTTATCTTTAAGGTTTTAAGTTCTAACTATAGAAACTATCATAAAGGAGTCAAAGTGCAATAGAAATTAATCAAAATAGTTAAAAACACTCAAATTTATCCCACAGCCTGCAAATTAATTAAACACGTGTAAAATATTTTGGAGAACATATATACTAACTACAAATGCAACTGGTAGTGGTATGTGCATTTTAAATTATCTCAATGAAAAAATACCTTCAGATTGGCTACTGCTACTAGCATCAACAGCCTCTTCGGACTCCGCAACAGTCTTTGGAGCCTCCAAATTGATTGGTTTTGCTGCCTCTGAAGTTTTATCTACAAACTCAGTATGCCCAGTTCTCTTTGTATGCAAATCACTTTCCTTTGTGATCATACGGAAACAAAATCCCAAGAAGAAAAAAAAGTTTTTAACTCAGTAAAATCCCACAAATCCCAACACAGAAGCAGTTAAAACAAACCAGGATCATTGTGCCCACAAACTCAACGCCCCCAGAAGTGATACAGTACGTTCCTATAACAAAACCACTAAGCTTTCACCTTTACCTTGAAGTATATATTCAAATATTAGATATCAATTCATTATGGGAAAATGCGAGCCGAGGCAAAGCCTCTAGAACTAACACAGCTTCCTTCAACTTTAATACCCACGTTACACTATTAAACTCCCAAATTCAAATCTCTTCATATCCAATAACCCAAAGCCTCAGTTCAATCCAAAATCAACAATTTCCAGAGTAACACACTATAAATCTACACATAATTGAGAGTATATATGTCATTCATACTGTTTTTGATCGGCATGGCTTTCCACAATCAGTGCAGACGAGGTTGAGAACAGCTTCGGTGGACTCGGAGAAGTTGAAGTGGGAAGTGAGCTCCCCATGCTCTTGGGCTTCCTGTACGGACTTCAAGAGGGCGCCGCAGTCCCCACACTTCAAAGATACTCCGGCCATTGACGACCGATCGCCACTCCGCAGATTGACTAATTGGATCGGAGGAGGGAAAAGGAAATCAGAGGAGCGAGCTTTGTTTCTGACGGTATTTGGTTGGGTTGTGCTTGCTTGTGCCTGATTTTGTTCTTGCTTTGTTGGTGGGTATGGAAGGTGAATTTTTCTAATTCTATTATTTTGTTTTTGTGGTATTTTGTGGGCTTGGCGAAGCCCAAATTTAAGTTAAACTGGTCCACTGAATTATGAACTTTTACATGTTCGATTAGAAAATTGATAGGCCTGATCTCAATTCGAGGTTTATTTGCGAAAGATCCATTCAAGTCCGGCTTGAGCCCGAAATTTTTTTTTTTTTTTTAATTTTGCTTGGTTGTTTTAAAATACAAAAAAATGTTTTATAATCCAAATTATTCTGAATTGTAAAATGACCCTTAAATGAGGTGAGGATCATAATATTAGGAGATCTTCTCCATCTAAAATTTATTATTTTATAATTTAGAATAATTCAAATTATAAAATAGTGAATTTTTAAAAATATACTATCTACTATTATGCAACAATTATATATTTGACACGGTGGAATGGGCTGATGGATATAAGGCCAAAAAAAATGGGTTAATGAAATGATAACATATTAATTTGTCATAAGCTTGGTAACTTCTTCTTTTTGTTCTTCTTTTTTCCTTTATTGTGACATTGGTTATGCCCTTTGCAAAGATGAACAACATCTTCCCATTTTTAAGTTAAAGAGCTAGCCCATACGTTATCCCCTCCCTATTATTATCTCTAATACGATATGTAGTTCTTCTTGATTTTAATTTTTTAATAGTCAAGTTATTTTCAAATCAATTTGTATGCTCAAAAATCAGTTATTAATACAAAAATTAAAAACTTTATAAAGAATTACTTTATTATTAGCTTCATTGAAGAATCGAACTTTAATAAACAAATTGAGGGAGTAAAGATGAGATATAAAATAAAATCCATGTGAACTACAATAAATATTATAATCATATAAATAACTTATAAAATAAAATTTTAAAAGTAACGGTAAAACTTAACTGTAAAAATGACTTTTAAGGCAAGATTTGTATGAATACAACATATCATGAGGTGGAAATGTTTATTTTTAACTAACATGATTTAATGATTACCAATTAGCCATATAAGACTCATTAAACTTCCTTTTATTTGAAATCTAGAGTACAATATAATCTATAAAGGGATCCTCTCCCTCTCACACTTTTCTATACAATCCTTGTGAAAAGGAGACCCTAATTTAGTGATAGAGAAACCTTAGTTTCTTGGAAGATGGCTGATGGTGAGCAAAACCCCCCCGCAAATATGGCCCCAAAGCCGATAACTGTTATGGTGAAAAGCCAGGCAAGTTTCTCCCTCTCATGTTTTATTTCTTCATAAATCTTGTTATGTTTTTGGTGTTCTCTTTTTTTCTTTGTTCTTGTTTACAGTCCTTGCTGTTCTCTTTTCAGTTGGTGGAACAGAATGTTTTGAATCTCGGACCATTCTCTAAATAATTTGAAATATAAAATATCAAAATAAATTTTTATCAAACGTTGTGGGTTTTAGTCCAATTTATGTTAGTTTCTTTTATTTTTTTTATTTTACATTTAAATGATTTTATTGTATTTATACAATTAAAAATTAAAATTTTTTAAGTTATTAATTTTTTAAAATTTTAATCTACTAATGCAATTTTTAACAACAAGAACAAAAAAAATGACAATAATAACGTTAATTACTAAATAAATCTCAAATAATCAAAATTTCTTTATTGATTTTTTTATATTTTACAATTACTAGAAATTTTTTTACTCTTAATTATATGGGATAATAATATTAAAAATATTTTTTAAATTATAAAATATGAATTATTGAATGAGTTAATCACTAAGAACCCAATAACAAGTCTCTTTAAAGTTTGAATTGCAAAATAACATGCTCTAATAATAATACACTTGAGACTTTATTAATTGCAGGATGGGAGTGAAGTGTATTTTAGAATCAAACCTCAGACGCAATTTCATAAATTGATGAATCAATACTGTCTGAAAACTTCGTTGGATGTCAACTCTGTGACATTTTTGTTTGACGGCCGTCGCCTCCGACCGGAAGAAACGCCAGAAAAGGTTGGTTTTAATTTCTTTTGTACGTTCATTGTAGGAAGAATGTAAAAAGTAAATTAATGTTTCTTGTATTAATTTCTCCTCTTCATTCAATTCTCATTTATTTTAGTGGAAATTTAAGGAAAATAGGAAAACTTTGAAATTAGAAAAATAAAAAATAATAGAACTTGTTTTTTATTTATGAGTTTTTAATATCAATTTCTGTTTGTTACTAAAAAAGAGATGTTTTTAAAACCTAAAATTTGTTATTAACAACTATCAACAATGTACTTGCTATTAACGATCAATTATTAGTTATCAACTATTAGATATAATTTAACATCCAAACCAAACATGTTGGAGTTTTTCTCCTTGGTATTTTGGTTTTGTGCAGGTGGCAATGGAAGATGGAGATGAAATCGACTGCTTGTTGCACCAAGTTGGAGGTGGCGGAGAGGATTTCTAATGGATTATCAGAGTTTGAATTGCTTCATTAGGCTCTAGGGTTTTGAAGCACAATAATGGCTAGATGATGATAGCCTTACTGCAATGTGTAATAAAAGCAAACCCAATACCTTCCTTTTGGCCTTTTTCTGGTCTAAACTGTTTTTAGTAATTTAATCGTTTTTCTGGAATTAATGATTGGGAATATCATCCTTTTAATACATTCTTTTGAAAATAATCAATCAGTTATAATTTCTTTTGACCATATGAATGTGGTCAGTTTCAGATGATAATTCAAGTATAACTATCTAACATTTGATATAAAGATTGGAATTAATTTTGCTGATCATCTTGTTGGCCAAAGATTTCATCAGCTGGAATTGCACCTCCAAAGCACAAATAGATCAACCAAATGCTTGAGCTATGGGCGTTGAGAAGAGGCAGAGGAACACTCTGCAAGTTTCTTTGAGAATCAATCAAATAGATGGTTGACAACTTCATTTCCGAAGTCAAAGATTGCTTTTAACTGCAAAATAATTATCTGGTTAATATCAGTAACATTAGAAGCTGCCTTCTCAAGATTATCTTCAGTCCAAGTTTTGATGGATTGGATTCTCTGGATGCTGAAACCAACTGCATTACTGTGTATTAAGGTTTTGAGTTCCTGTGAAGTGCGTGAGAGGAATGGACAAAATAGAGAGATGCCTTCGGAAACAAGCGACCTTGAAAATGACAAGGTATTGCTGCTGCAAAGTACTCCTCTCTATAGGGAGAGACTGGAAAAGGGTGTTGAAATCATTGGAGGCAAGATCAATTAATAGTACCTAAAATTCGAGTTCATCTTGACCAGGATAATTCGATCTGTACTTGAGTTTTACAGTTTCTATGATGTTTTGCATGTCAATGACTGTATTTGGACCAACAGAACATCCCAAATCCAAAATTGTGAAAACTTTTAAGGAGAAGAAGAAAAGACTTGTTTCAAATCAAGGGTATCCTGGATTTCTTCTTGAATTAGAGCTTTGATTCCTCTCCTTGTCTTTGAAAAATATCGAACTTAATTAGAATTAATCATGAATTAGAGCCCAGATGGAAAACAATGCAGACAAGAAAAAATGGGAAGCTGGAAAATAGAACTGTAATAGAGAATTCAGAGTGTAACTGTATTGTCCATCACCTCCAGTTATGGCCTTATGGGATGTGATACAGTCCATTTTTCAAACATATCCCTCTCCGTCTCAATCTCTGACACTAAGCAGGTCTTTGGTTCTGAATATATAAATCTTTCTCTGTAATATTCAATTTCATCAGGTCTTTAAGGATGTAACCAAAGAGTTTGAAAATCTGATGAATTTTCCTACATGCAAGGTAAATTTCAGGTGTGAACTATAGAAACTGGTAGAGGTGACGTTGATGATATGAAAAATTACCAAAATTTAGAAGTAGAGAGATATTTCAATTACTTAATCCTTTCTCAATTCTGAATTCAACAAGGGATCCACAAAGATGAGAATGACAAATAAAGAAAAAGTACATCTACACTCAACACACTAAAAACAACAATATTTGATTCCACTTGAGAAGAAAAATGTATATCCCTAGATTAAGATCTAGTTTTATTAATCAACAAACTTTATTCTTATTTATGTTTGCATATTATCCTACAATCAAGCCATATTTCGCTTGAGAAGAAAGAACAATTCAGTCACATGCTTGTATTCCACCTGACGCAAGAGGAGAGACGACTCTGCAATTTTCTGGGACCATCTGTGAAAAAGCTCATCAACAATGTCATCTCCAAAGTGCTGTTTTATAAGTCCTTCCCAGATTGCTCTTAAGTGCAGTATCACCATGTTGATATCAGAAATTTTCTCAAGACCATCCCCTGGACGAACTATTGCTTCAATTCTTTCTATATTGAAACAGCCATTTTCCTTCACCAAGGCCTCTAGTTCCCATTGAGTTGGATGGTACTTAGTCATGTTGAAAGAATCTACTTTAGCTTCACTTACCAATCCCTGCAGGTGAATGTATTTAATATGCATTTCATGTGTGCCACAATACTGGCTAGCTAGCCCTTTAGAAAATAAAATGTTAATTCAATTGATTGTTACCAATTCAGCCATGTCAAAGAGACTTGCTTCCAGAAGATCAATGGTTGCAAAAGAGGAACACTTTGCAGGTGGAACACCATCAGGCAGACATGGAATTAAAAGTGCCATTAGCCCTCCAGCAACAAGCTCTTCTGCCCTGGAACTCAAAAACGCCTCCATATCCCTCCTATACTGAGCTGAATATGCCTCCACTGCTTCCTTTTGCGATTTATTGTAACTTATCCTTCCTTTATTATATGCTGGAGAGTTCTCATCTACCAATTCTTTAGGAATGATAGAGACAAAGTGAAGTGCATAGGACGCATGGACAAAGTGAAGAGATGCCTTGGGAAACAAGCGACCCAGAAAAGAACCTGGTACTCCACTCGCCCAGTACTGGCTATCAAGAGGTAGGGACTTGAAGAGGGTGTTGAAGTCATTGGAGGGAAGGTCATTGAAAAACACTTGGAATTCAAGAGATCCTTGGTTAAGGGAATAAGATTGGTGCTTGTGTTTTACACATTCTATGATATTCTGAACTGCAATGGTTGCATTGGGTCCACAAGAACATCCTAAATCTGCAATGGTGAAAGCTCTGGAAGGAGAAGAAGAAGGAATGACTTGTTCTAAGTCAAGTCTCCCAGCGATCGCATCTTTGATTAAAACTTTGGCAATCTCCACACCTTCTCTCTATAAAACCAACAAAACATTATAAGCTCAAACATGGTATAAATTACATACATCAACTTACATGATAGAAACTAACAAAACCTGAAGCAAGGAATTACGGTTGTAACTATAATGTCCATCTCCTTCCTTCATGGGGCGCATTAAAGTCGATACAGAGGCCATTTTCTTATCTCTTGCTAAATGCTAACCATATCCAACCGCGTGATTATAAACAGTGTTGTCAAAATCGCGTTTTATACCGTAAAATCGTAAGATTTTACCATGTTAGGTATGGATGCCGAGTAAAATCGACTTTAAAATCGGATTTTCATAAAATCGGATGATAAAAACGTAAAAGCGCGATTTTTACGTAAAATCGTTTGAAATCTCGATTTCACTTTCACAAAAATTGACGAAGAGATTTCCAGAAATTTGCCGCGGGGAGGGAAAGATTTTGGACTGCTACGGTTCCGGCGTGCCGCTGTTCCACTGCTCACATCTCACGCCCTGGCGGGATGGAAATCTATTTGGTGACCCAAATCATGTGGAGCCAGCCTTAAATAGTAGGATTTGGTTGCTGCTGCTCATTGCTCAACCAAAGAAGGATAAAATTTGTGGCCAGAAAAAGGAGTAGATAAGGATCAGGAAGGGAGCTTGAATGGAGGAAAATGGTAGAAAAAGAAAGAAGGTGATAAGGCGAAGAAGGTGAAAGTGTGAAAGAATGGAGGGGTACTCATTTTAGTGGGTAGTATGTTGACACGGGATCGGTGTTGGATTTTTACATGTTCACGGTGTGATTTTGGTTTGGATTTTAATATTTTTTAAATTAATTTAATTTAATTGGTTAATAAAATTTTTAAATTAATTTAATTCATTATTATATGATAGGATCATGATTGGTGCATATTCGAATCCAACACTCAAGTAAGGAGTAGATAAAGATCAGGAAGGGAGCTTGAATGGAGGAAAATGGTAGAAAAAGAAAGAAGGTGATAAGGTGAAGAAGGTGAAAGTGTGAAAGAATGGAGGGGTACTCATTTTAGTGGGTAGTATGTTGACACGGGATCAGTGTTGGTTTTTGATAGGAGTGTTCACGGTGTGATTTGATTCGAATTTTAATATTTTTTAAATTAATTTAATTTAATCGGTTAATAAAATTTTTAAATTAATTTAATTCATTATTATATAATAGGACCATGATTGGTGCATATCCGGATCTAACACTTTAGTGTGCATTCCTCCACATAAAAAATAATAATAATAAAGGATCGGGTGTTGGATCATTTTTTTTTATGCGGAGTGTGCACACTCGGGTGTTGAATTCAGGTGTGTACACATCATTTTCTTATATGATAACCAAACCAATTCAACTTAAATCAGATTGGTGTGATTTAGTCGGATTAATCGATTTTTAATATTATTAAATATATAAGATAATGTAAAAACATTTTAACATCAAATAGAAAACATAACCATAAAACACATTAGCATGTAAATCAATAAAAACATAATAAAAAGTACAAATTATAAACGAGTTCTTATACTTTTTTACATTTATAAAAATTGAAAAGATTTGAAAATTCTTTTTGGTTACATCACTAGAGGCACCAAGAACAATAAAAGATGATTTCAAGTTTCTAACATAGTGTAAATAATTCTTAAAAATTAAAATTAATTTTTTTTCTTAATACAATAATAATTTAATCTCATCTTCTAAATCCTGTTAAAAGTGAATAAAATTTAATATGAATATCACTAAAATTGATTAAAGGCATTCATAATCAAAATTTAAAATTTCTAAACTAAATATCTAAAAATAGTAGAATATCAAGACTAATTTTATTATATAGTTTGAAGACTTTTAGAATGATACTTATTTAAAATTTAGTGATGAGAATTATAAAATTATTTAAAGAATAAATTAAAAATTTAGGATTCTAAGAGTAAAAGCATAAACCAATTCTGAGAGGATAGAGTTCCAGGTGAATTAGAAATTTAGAATTAAGGTTAGAATGCATGATTAAAATGAAAAAATAACTTTGGGAATATGGAGATGTTTTATTTTTATTTTTTAATTAAGTTAATGGAGTTATTATCTTGTAAAATAAGAAAAAGAAATTTTAAAACACTACAAAAAATATATTATATTATTTAATTAAGTTATCTTGTAATCGAATTTTATTTTGTGATCGGGCAATTCGGACAGTTTGAAGGTAAAATCACAAACCAAATCAATTATATTGATTTTAAAATTTTATAATTCAAATCAACTCAATTTTATATCGGTTTGGATTGATTTTTGATTAGATTAGATTAATTTAAGTTGGATCAATCAGATTGAATAATATATGAATACCCTAGTTTTTGGGCAATGCTAGCTATTTTTTGGGCAATGTTAGCTGCTAGGGGCACTCGCCTCCTGCACTCTCCAACCAACACATGCTTCTTTATTGGG